TAATTTTTACGCTTTAAACTATTATTATTATTATTATAGCAATTGTGAATACTAATTTAATCCTGAAGCTATTTTTTATTGGCTTTGCATGCAAGCCATACTTTTGAGAGATACTTCGAAGGTCGAAAAGCATTTCAGGACACATGGTATTTATATGTAGTAATATAAATTGTTAAGAGTATATTAAACCTCAATACGATAAGTATTATTTTATAGTGGTTTGATTAAAACCGCATTCCGTATTACTTGGACCAATATTATTGGAATCACTAAAGAAGAGAAAGAAGTAATTATGAAATTATTGCTCGCCTTCGTTGTTGCTACAATACACAGTTTAAAAAAAGAAGAAGATGTCGACCATGAAGATATTAAAGAACTTATTCCTAATACCTTTAATTTTCAACAAAAAGCTCAACCATCGTCTGAAATAAATCCATTGTCTAAAATAAATGAATGCAAAATAGAATTACCAGTTGAGATAATATCATATTTAAATTTATATTATAGTAAAAAATTTTATGAAAAGGAACTTGATAGTATACCATTTGGCATAATTTCTGAAGCATTAAGTGATTTAACACAACTTTTTGGTACGATGCATACTATTAGTGGTACACCAATTCCTATAACTTATCAAATTCACATGTAAGTATCCTATTAACAAATGGATTATCAAAAGAAGAAATTTTAATATTTGGCTCCTACAGGAAACAGTCTCTAAATATATACGTTTGCTTTCTCTCACTTGCGCTTGTTGAAAGTCTTGGCTGGGCCACTATTCCAATTGTCACTATAATTGCTTTTATATTGTTTGGTCTTGAAACTCTCGGTAAGCTTACACACTCAATACTCTATATAAAAAGTCGATTTTATGTATTTTGACATTACAAACCAATCAATACTGCATAATCAACTATTTTTCATATTTTATTTTCTAGGAAATGAGATTGCAGATCCATTTGGTATTTATATCGATATACATATATTACAAAACTTGAATGTATTATTATTGTTTATAATTCTAAATATTCTCTGTACAGGTGATGATGAAACTGATTTACCACTAGAGGAGTTTTGTAATGATTTGAAAATTGAGATGAATTATTATATACATTATATTCCACAAGATATTAAAAATATAAATTTATTAGAGTACTAGTTTTTTTTGTTTTGAATCATCAGTGCAATGGGTGGTGCTTTGCACCGCCTATTTTATTTGATTATGTATTCGAATAGGTATGCCAAAACTGGTTAAATATATTAGTCGCACTTTTCGAAAGCAAATCAAATTTTTATAAAAATTTTAATATATATATTTATACATATATTATAATTTTCAATTCAAAAATTTTATAATAAACTCAAGAAAAAAATTTTTTTTATGATTTTGTATAAAATAAATAATGTATTTTTGTAAGATTCAAATAATTTCAGAGTAGGCAATTATAAATAAGAATTGATTCGCATAAGGGAAACTCGAATAGTGCGTTGCAAAATTTCTGGTAAATCCGATCGGAATAAACTTAATCACATTTTTTGAGATTTTTCTACTACAATTGCATTTTAATTTAATTAATCTGATTTTAATAGATAGATCACATTTTCCCGACAACCAGTTTACAGACAATCAAGGTTAACCCAATTTATTGTTAATTTAAAATTAGCATTGGTTAGAATTAGAAGGTGAAATAACTGTAAATTAAATGAGATGAATTTTTGGTGTTATGCAAGGAGGATTAAATACAACGATTATATATAAATGAGTTTCTTTTTTGAAGTAAAATAATGTTTAGTCTAGCACAAGTTTCCTTAAAGCTATTATCGTTATAATTGCTTACAAAATAAGGTTCATTAATATTTATTTGAGTCTAGTATATATGATTCCAATTATGTATTATATGTTGCTGATTGACATTTAGGGATTCGAGTTCAACAACATGTATAATTTTCATATTGCGATAGGTCAATGCAAAAAAAAAAAGAATAAGTCAACAACTTAGAAATGCTGTCACATAGAGAATAGCAAGAAATGTTTTAAGCTTGCCAGATTTAATATTTTGCTGACTGTTTATCCATTTCGTTTCACTATGTTTCTGGCATACCTAATTGCACATGCGGGCGGTTTTGCTACATAATTTCAACTAGTTACACGTATAAAAATTCTATGCACACATGTTTAGTTATAAAGTCTAATAAACCAGTGTAAATCAAAAAGGTAGTTCGGGACAAAAAATTTTTTGACTGAATAATAAACTCGCTGTTCATTTTTCATTATTGAAATTTTTTCTTGATTTAAATAAACCACGTGTCCTGTACCTTATTCATCTTAATGTCAAGCACGTTTGATCGGTTAACAATACTTTCCCTAATTAAAATTTAATTCCTGACACACATTCGACACATTTTACTCATTGATTGGAGCGCTTGAGAACGCCCTAAAACTGAACAGTTTCTAGTTTTTATGATAAAAATAAGCCTTGTTATCATTTATCGTGTTCCACTGAATTGATTGAAAACCTCTGAGTTATTAAGCGGCACTAAATATTTACATATGTTTATGCTAAAATAACAAAAAATTAATCTAAATAGCCTAGCCCAAAAGTTTAAGAAAAAATAGCTTCAGGATTAAATTAGTATTCACAATTGCTATAATAATAATAATAATAGTTTAAAGCGTAAAAATTA